ACTGTCGGCTGTTGAACAGTAAACCACTGTGGTTTACTATGCGGCAGCTGTCCGCTTATGTGTGAACAGGCCCTTAAGTAAAGCATTGAAGGCACTAGTCCCATCAGCTGGGACAGGGTGAGTTCCTACCATCTAAGGAAAGTAAAAATCGAGGGACCCAGTCTGCGCAGTTGATTGTAGGGAGAACGGGAAAGAGAAGACACCAGCTTGCATGGGAAATTAGGAATACGTTATACCTCCACACATGAATACACTCAGCACCACACAGCTACCTGCTCCTTGCTGCCTAACTAGAGAGTACTGCAATTCTCATTATGGTATCTTTAAAAAAAGTAAATATAGTGTTTGGGCTAGAAATAGGGGGCTTCCCTATATACGTATCATTATCTGAGTCTCTCCCCTCTCTTCCTCTTCACACAGGGACTCAGGCAGCAGCAAGACCCATTGGTTCCTACTGCTGCCAATTAAATGTTGTGAGGGGGAAGCAGGGGGTGGGGCTAAGCCACTCTGTGTGCACTCTGTGCACGGCTCAATAAACACACATAGCTTGGGAGTGAGCATGCACTGTGTGCCCTCATAACAAGTGCTTGCTATGGAGGCACACAAAGGAGAGGAGGAGCCAAGACTGCCAGCGGGGGACCCAGAAGAGAAGGTTCAGGGCCGCTCTGTGCAATCCCATTGCACAGAGCAGGTGACTATAACATGTTTATTACTTTAATTTAAAAAAAATAACCTTTAGTACACGTTGAGCTTTTACTGATACAAAATACAAGACCACCAATGTTTCATACAAACAGCCAAACAATTCATCACTAGTTTTTGCTGTGTTATTGCTTGTTAAGGCCACACCATTTTTGGCTAAATATTGCTGTGAACATTTATAAATGTAATTCTAATCTCCCTTGGGTGATCTATGCCAAATGCAAGGATTTTAACAAACTTTGTAGCAAACACTTATCTTTTGTTGCTTTGAATAATTGTTTGTTGCACCCCGTCCTTTGTACACCAATTCTGAATAGGAAGGACCAGTTTATTATAATTAGCTGACACACTCTCAGTGCTCTGATGAGAAAAACAGTAGTGTCTGCATGCTTGTCAAAGTACTTAACCCTTAGGGAGTATCTCACTGAAACTGAAATTCCTACTGCAGGGGGTGTCTGGGGAAAATCTATGAAAGCAGGATGGGCAGATGAAGGAGAGATCGGCCTCTTCCATTTAAAGATCAGGTTTTATTCTATACTATGGGAGTCATAGTACAGCTTCCATGAATGAAGGAGGAGGTGGGAGGGCAGGCATAGTCTACACTCTTGATAAGTGTATATGGCAGGTTCCTCAGCTCATATTATGCCCTGCTACCCTGGAAGTGTATTCCTGTGTATGTGTGTGTCGGGGGGGGGGGGGGGGGGGGGTGATATCAGAGGACAGAAGATTTCAACCAAAACCTTGGCTAGCAGCGCAATTTTTCATTGATTTTAAGTAACATCTCTTGTGCTGACTTTTTTTTTGTTTTTACTAAACCTTGGCTTTAATTACAATATGGCTGGTCTAGCAATTGTATATACTATGTTTTTTTTAATTGCTATATTTTTTCAAGGTAAGTAGAGTTATCCTTTAAGTATTATTGTAGTATATCACAACTTGAAAAGCATTGGGTACTGTGTTCTAAACTGAGCTCTTTTCCCCTTTCCTCCCAACCTTGGTGACAGTGATGGAGACTGAATCTGCATACTCTTACTCTCCTAATAAGCTACAAGAAAATGCTGTAATTAAAACCAGTCCTGTTTTTTCTTATTAGGATTTCATGATATACATCTATTAACTATATCTTTCTGTAAAGACCAGTCAAAAAGAATATTTAAAAACCTAGGAGTACAAAAATAGTCAAAGAGTAAAAAATCTTGTCTTTGTTAGAGATGGGTGGTCTCATCTGCTTATTAGAAAAAATGAGGAAGGGTTGTAACAGCGCAAACACTGCAAAGTCCTGGGAAATGGTAGTATGGGTGATGGTGGTATTAGTGGCTACTGTATGAAGAGCGTAGGATTCCGTGTGGCACTGAGGGCAAGGCTTCCAAATAAAGCTGTAGCAACTTCTGTAGATGAGAAAAAGGAGAGAAGCGCCTCTAAGTGCAATAAGTCTTTTAATTCAAGTCTAAATGTAGAAACACTCACATGTGTGAAGTAATCATAAGCATAAAAACCGTGGTTAACAATAGTTAACGGTGGGGTGGTAACCCGGGTGAAGAGCCGGCGGCGTGGCCGTGATGACGTCAGATCCCAGGGTGCACTGCGACGCGTTTCGGAGCATGCACTGGCCATGGAAGGCGGAAGTGCACTCCTTTTTCAAGCTGCTTGAAAAAGGAGTGCACTTCCGCCTTCCATGGCCAGTGCATGCTCCGAAACGCGTCGCAGTGCACCCTGGGATCTGACGTCATCACGGCCACGCCGCCGCTACGTTCCAGCGTGCGTTCCATCCGGCTTTGAGGGAGGACGTGCATGAAGGCTGGCCTCACCGCTGTTCCCCCTCCAGCCACCACGCTGTTCCAGCCGAGAGCTGACCTCCCCACATCGCAGAGAGATGACGGCTCTTCACCCGGGTTACCACCCCACCGTTAACTATTGTTAACCACGGTTTTTTTATGCTTATGATTACTTCACACATGTGAGTGTTTCTACATTTAGACTTGAATTAAAAGACTTATTGCACTTAGAGGCGCTTCTCTCCTTTTTCTCATCTGCTTATTACCCTATTCTTATGCACCTTACAACTGAATACATTGGGATATAACAGAAGCATACTAAATACTAAACCTTAGTTAGTAGTACAGTATATGCTTTAATATGTTGTTGCACAGATAACGCCCCTTACTTTGGGTGGCAGTTGATTTTAAGTTCACTTAGCTGAGCAGTGTAGCTTCTAGTCTCTTGACAACGCACCCATAGATATGAAATAATTATCACCCAAACCTGTCCAAAGTGGTTGGATTGGGAAACTATTGTATGTTTAGAGGCTACCTGAACCTTGTACAAACACGACTGAACTGGCTCAACGTGAAGGAAGAATCAACCGTCTTCCTGATCAATTGTATTTTGTTCTTAGATGTGGTTGGTACAGAGTATATCTGCAGTCTGCACATCAAAATTCTCATAATTTTCTATTTTTTCTAAAATTGTTTTCTTCTAACCTGTTCGCTGCTAAAATTGGTTTAGCATTTTTTGCACCTGTGTTCAGAAAAAACACTTTAGGCCTGAAGATTATGTAAACTCTCAAAGTAAATGGATGCACAACATGCCAAGCTTTACAATTGCTTACGCCGTTGAGTTTTTGGTGGCAGGTTCTCTTTAATGAGACATCAGGGTTCCAAAAGACCCCTAATGTCCCACCTGTCATCAAATTAAATTAATGCAGTGCAGATCACACTGCATTCGTTTTTCCCCAGCCAGTATGGATTACATTTTACACATCGCTCCGGGACAGTAAGAGGAATAAGAGGCCAGGGAATGGAAGTTCCCTGATTTCCCTCCCCTCTACCATGGCACTGGCCATGCTTGTCCTAGGTCTGCGATTGGGCACATAGAGCCTGGGAAACATGGCAGAGGCACGCAGAGAGGGGGGAGCGGCTATTACCAGGGTGTGTGGAAGGCTGCAGAGTCACTTCCACCTGATGGCTTCTTCTATTCATCCAAAACTTTTACAAGGAAATTTTGGAATGCAGTGTATCATTACATATGGGATCCTGGGATACCTATGTGCGCCATTTCCGATTTCACTCTTAATGGCTTAATTCAACAGATATGGTTCCTACTAAACAAATGATGCAATTAACCAGTTAGTGCCTGGAAACAGTGCTTCCATAAGTTTAACCACATGTACAGGCATGCGAAGCATTGCTTCAGTAAGTTTAACCCAATGATGGGGATTTGGAAATGTACATTTTTTAAGTTATGATTCAGAGAGGTATCTTCATTTAAAATAAAGATTTTTTTAAATGAACTATTTTGTTCTTTGAACGCCATGGTAAATGTGGTTATAAAAAAAGGACCATTTTCCAGGTTCATCAGTGAAGGATAAGTAAGTTTTTAATGCCCCCCCCCAACAAGACAAATAATCTGTACTACCTCATAGACCTTTATTTGATTCAATTTCTTATATGGCCAACACCATGGTGATAAAAATTCACCAGGAACGTATTGGTGAGTTTTGAACAATAAACAATGAACTTGTACTACTCCTGGAACGTTACTGGTGTGAAGGAACCTAGTATGGGCTGGCTGGTTCTTTAGAAAGGTGTTCCCATCTTTTTTATGTTTAGTGCCCTTACTTTTTACGCCCATTTAGGAATATGCAGGCTGGGATGAGCAGATCATGAACCTCTGTCTGACTTGATTGTTTTCTTTATATGACTACGCTCAAGTACAGGTACAATATGCTTGGTTGCTGTGGACACCTTGCTATTTGTATTACCTTAGCATGGCAGAGTTGTTCATATTGGTTTCTTTACAAATACCGTAAAATGTTGTGTTTGAACTTAAACTATGTACTTGGACAATGGAATGTATAGAATGCATATTAAACAATCGTCTGGTATAAATTGATATCATGTAAATTGTGAAATCAAAAATTCAATATCAGGACTTAGATATATAAATTCTATAGATTGCAATACAACCCTGCTATGTCTTATATACTCAGCACTTGTTTTTTTTTCTTTCCCTACAGAAATTGTTTTTCTTAAATCAGTAGCCTGTGATCAGTTCTACAAAATAGCTTTTGGACCCTAAAGTGAACTCATGGAATTTTATAAGGAGGTACAGATGTCGATTTTGGATCATGGGCTAATCCAGACATTTCTGTAAAACACAACAGCATTACAACATTGGTTAAGGGCATCTAATTATGTGTAATATTGCTTTACTGCCCTATACCAGTGAATGCCTGGCACCTGTAGTATGGTACAATGCAGCCAAATTAACTGTTTGCTACGTGTGATCGATCACTCACTATGAGGCTGCCCTGTGTCTTCTGGCCACAACTGTTCTGGGCCTTTAGTCTGTGCTTTTTAAAGACAATAACAAAATCAGGAGCATCTCCACTTAACTGCCAGGAAACTTGTGTCTGTGCCAGTGATGTTATCAGTTGCTCTAAGAAGGACCTGGGAGTGGTTCCTAGTGGTTTACCAAAGTATATAGCAATGTTAGACCTCAGTCACAACAACCTGCTAAGAATACGGGCTGATTGGACCACAAACCCACTAAAAAACTTCATACATTATTATTGTCACATAACCATATAACCTTTGTATCCCCTGAAGCTTTTCATTTGACCCCCAACCTCCGTAATCTGGATTTATCCTGTAATAAACTGCGCACATTTGAGGAGAATGCATTTAGTGCTCTGGAAAACCTGGAAGTACTTCTTCTCTACAAAAATAAACTAGTAGATATTGATCGCAGTGCATTTGATGAAATGAAGCATTTACAAAAGTTATATCTGAGCCATAATTTAATGCAACGCTTCCCACTAGAACTGGTAAAGGATGGAGAGAAATTGCCAGAGCTTACATTACTTGATCTCTCCTCCAATCACATAAAAGTTCTCCCAGTAAAACAGCTTCGGGTGCTACCTGCTTGGCTGAGTAACAGGCTATATCTACATGGAAATCAACTGACCTGCAACTGTGAATTGTATGAACTTTTCTGGCACTGGCATGTACGTCAGTTGGCATCCACCATAGATTTCAGAGAAGAGTTACAGTGTTATCTACATGCCCAGCAACGGACTGTCTCAGTGTTTTCCCTCAATGGTAGTGACGGTATGAACTGTAGTGTTGTAAGAGAGACTGGAATGGAGGCACATCTTGAGGAGACAGTCACCTTAAACTGTGACACCAAACAAAGAGGTGTAAACCTAATGTGGGTTACTCCTGGCAATGAATGGATACAAAAACATGTTGATGGGACAGAGGGAAACCGTAGCATACATTTGCTTGGCAATGGCAGTCTTCAAATAAAACAGATTCGTTTGGAAGACAAAGGGACATATACTTGTTACGCTCAAGGGGAGGTTCTGAATGAAACTCTATATGTTACACTCACTGTATTCAACTTTACACAGCATGTCCACCAGGATACACTAAATACAGCATATACCACTTTAGTGGGATGTGTGGCTAGTGTTATTCTAGTCCTGATTTACCTATACTTGACACCATGTCGCTGCTGGTGTCGGCCAGGTGATAGGGGGCAAGGGGAGGACAGGGATAGCATCCGCTCATCGGTCCTCAGTGCCACCCCCAACCATGAGACTACTAGTGAGAAGGCAGCCCTCAGTCGTCATGTGGCTTTTCTGGATCCCCCTGGAGATCTGCAAGGTCAGAATGGTAAACTAAAACCAAATGGTTCACAAGAAGCTCCTGGAATAAAAGGCCACCAGCTACAGCCATCATCACCACACAGGAAGCTGTCAGATCCAGGATCTATCAGTTCAGTATTCTCTGACACTCCAATTGTGGTGTGACAATGGTGTTTCAAAAGTAAGCTTGCAAACAGTTCATATCAAACAACCTTTCCATCCCTTACTAAAAGTCTCCTGTCCCGCATGTGCATGTCAGGTTATTGTTCAAATCTAAGGAGAGAGAGGGAGCAGAAGTAAGAAGCTGGATGTTAAATTTATGAGAATAATCATACATTAGTGTGAGGAAAATAAATTTATATGCATAGAAAATTAATATGAAAAGAGTAGAGAGGGTCTTGAAATCATCACCGAATCAACTGCTTTTAGAACTAGTTCTACTGTAAGCAAGTTTATTTTTACAAATGCAAAGATGCAACCATGATTTTCCTGGAGATGCAGCCATTGTAATAGCAACCTAAAATTTGAATTTTATTTATAACGCACAATGTCTTTCACTTTACCAATGATTAAAAATAAGCCACATCCAAATATAATGGGGGTGATAATGTCAAATAATGAAATATCCATGCATACCATCACTTTTGTGATTTTGTGGCATCACTTTCTGTGCCCCTGCAACTGTAGGAATCAAACTGCGGTCTGTATATAATATCTTTGTTACCCAAAAGACTGCTGGTCAGTCATTCCAGTGTTGAATTCTGTACTGTTCTGAAGTAATGTAAGATAGAAAAGCACAACCATTCCGTGTAACTGTGATATAACGTGCTTGCAGCACTTAGATGTGACAGATTATTTAACAGTTTATGAAGTCATACACTATTCCATACTGCATCTACATTTGTTAGCAGCTCATTAAACATATACCTGCTTTCCAACTCCATCATGTAACTGCAACCTGTATTTCTGTACCTACAGTTTATTGTCAAGAATAACCCTGGCTGAAAAACAAGCTTCACCATTATGTGAAAAGTAATGTGAATACTGACACCCACTCAGCTTTGTATTTCATAAACTCAGATGTGTATTTTCTCTTGGGCACTCTCTTTGAAGTCTAATCTTACAGGCTTATATAGGGGCAGAGGGAGAAGATCAGTTTCAGAACTTTCTTAATTATGGTGTAAACAGGGCATTCACCCTGGGCCCTTCAAAATAAAAAGGTCTATCATTTGTCATTAGAAATATAGCTTTGAGAGCTGGGATTACAAAATTATTTACTCCCAGCTCTCTAGAGGCCCTAAAAAGTAAAAAAAAAAAACAAAATCACACCATTGCTCATATTAAGCGTATTGACGTGCTGCAGTGCTAATCATTCTCTATGGAAACCCAATGCATCCTCCTAATGCTCCTGCATTGCTGCTAACCACAGTGAACACTAATGTCTTGTGTTGTGTTGCACTGCTAAAAATGGTGCACTCACCTTTTTCCATGTGTTTGGTGCATTAGGCAGCTCAATCATAAGAGTATGCCTCAGAGGTGAAGGTAACCTTTTGGAAAAAAATTATGTATTATTTTTTTGTAAAAAAAATAACAAATACACATTTTTTTGTAGGTAAAAAAAAATGTGAATTTTTTTTTTACAGTGCCGCTTTTCAGTCATTGCCCCCGCAATCAGCAGAGCGCAGGTGCAATGCAATGCAGCACTGTCAGGAAGCTGGCTGCCCATACCTCCGATATGGGCAGGCAGTTAATGTATGGCAGGAAGAATCAATAAACTATGAGCGTCCTCTCAGTTCATTGAGAACTACAAGCCCTCAGACACAATAGAAACTGTGATGAATGATAAGTCCATGTGGAGCCGTACTGTTTTCAAATTGTGATAGCGGGTATGGGGAGAAGATCCCACACAGCGGGGAGAGCTGGCGGAGGGAAGTGGTTTCATAGAAGCATGTTACATCTTAAATATGGGTGTAACGTAACATGCTCCTAAAGATGAACTTTTCCTTTTTTTAACGCAACAAACATTGTGAAAGAAACTTTCTTTCATGTAATGTGTTTGGTCAGTATGAACTTCTGAAGTAGCATAACACTGCATTAACATTAGATATAGTCCCCTAATTCCAAATATAAGTCCTCCAGTTATAAGGATGGGCAATTCGATTTTTGCCTTAAGTTAGCTTATTTCTTGCTCTGTCTAGCTTGAAATAATATCAGTTTAATTTAGTAACAATGAAGTACCAACTATCATTTTACCATACTTCATTGAATGATATAAAAAATACGTACAAGAATATTAGTGAAGTGGTTTAGCCTAGCTGGTAAGTATTGGATTAGTTATCAATATTGTTGAATCAAACTTTTATGTCCTTTATTATGTCAACACTACTTTGGTTGCTGGACCACCATGTGCCAAAGCATCAAACTCCTATGAGGGAGCAAAAACTGATGATATACAGTAGTGGGTTACTTTTTGCCAACTGGGTTCATAGAAAATCCATGTGCCCAGTTACGCATTCCCATGCACATAAATGTGACATGAAAAGTCACCAGTAGGTAGTGACATTTGTTTGGTGTTGGACACAAAAGTACTTTCTGGCTGTCTTTCTGCTGGGATGAACTAACTTATTTGATCGGCATGTAGTTATCAGTGTTCTTTCAATAGATTTAATGTGCTGCAGCTCAAAGCATAGAGAACCGTTTTCAGTCTTGTGTTCCCAATCATATACTGAAGTGTAGGCCACAGATTCTGACCTTCTTATTCTCTGTGCATGCATAGAAAAATCCCATCCATCACTATGCAGTGGCCGCCTATTTTTATTATACAGGATTTATATAGTGCCAACAGTTTTCTCAGCACTTTACAATATAAAGAGAGACAATACGGCAACAATACAGTTCAATACAAGAGGGTGAGAAGAGCCCTGCTCCTTGGAGCTTACAATCTAAGAAGGAGGGGCTGGTGGTACAAAAGGTAATAATTGTGGGGTAGGAGGAATAGAAGATTCCGTTATTAACTGAAGGCAGGATAGGTTTCCCTAAAGAGATAGGTTTTCAGAGATCGCCTAAACGTGGGCAGAGTAGGAAATAGTCTGATAGATTGGGGGTAGCGAGTTCCAGAGGTTGGGGAAGGCTCTGGAGAAGTCCTGCAGACAAGCATGGGAGGAGGAGACAAGGGAGCTAGAGAGCAGGAGGTCATGCGAGCAGCTACCTAACATTGGGATGCGTAGAAATGTAGCCTCTATATAGGAACAAATAGCATATTTTCACACATGAGGGTATAAGACCCTGGTGAGTGTTTAGGTGAATGGAAGTAACTTAAAGGTTAACAGTATGATAGCATAGTTATACTTTAAGTGGTATTTCTTAAAGGATAAGTTCATATTTGGAACATGTTCCATCCGTTTTTAGAGTGTAACATGTAACATATTCCCATAGCTGCAGCTGCTGTCCGATCTCCCCCTCCCTGCAACAACAGTATGGGGAAAAGTTCCCCATACTAGCTGTCAGTTTTTGAAAATAGCTTGGCCATGCGGAGCTCTGCCCACATGGCCACGTCATTCATTCACAGAGTTCTGAGAATGAATGAACTACAAGTCCCAACACATATAGCATCTGTGTAGGGGGGGGGGGGGGAGTTCTCAAATTTGGTTGCAAAGGCAAAAAAAAAAACCTTTGAAGTAGACCTTTCTTCCCTAAAAATCTGTTGCACATGCATCTCTGCATTGATCATCCCTGATCAACCTGAAGACATAGATAAAAATTAATGTGTTAGTCGTAAACGTACCTTTACCCCACCTGTTTGGTACAGTGAGGCACTGTCAACATAATCAGGGCCTCACAAATGAACCCTGGGAAAGCTATGTCATCATACTGGGGAAATGGCACAAGAAAGAGGCAGGTAGTACCTCTAACTTTTTTTTTTTCTAATAAATAGGTTGCATTAATGTAGTCAGGTTTTTTCTATTTGGGGTCTACTGTAAGGCTACCAAACAAAGCAATGCAGAGGAGTTAAAATGAGAAAGTATATTACTAATTTGTTTATAATCCACAGATTGTCTGATTTAGGCTAGGTTCACACCTGTGCAGGTTGCGTTTGAGTCGTTTCTGCATTGTGTTTTGCATTGCAATTTGCGTTTTTGCCGCATTTAAAAAAAAAAATTCTTGTTCCTAGGCAGATTTAAGATGCAAAACGCATCAAAAACACAATACACGCTTTTCTGCAACGTTTCCATTGAAGTCTATAGAAACAAAAACGCAACTGTTTGTGTTAAAAAAAAGTCCCTGAACGTTTCCAAAAACCGCACCGGGTGAAAACGCACAAGTGTGAACATGTCCCATAGGAAATCAAGTTAAATGGACTGTACTGCGTTTCTGCAAAACGCTGCAGAAAATGCTTAGGTGTGAACCTAGGATTAGGGTTTGTTCACACACCATTGTGCTGTAATGATCTGCATAGATCAATGCAGGCTCAGCACAGTGACACATTGCAATAAAAACAATTGCTTTCTATGTGTCCTGTTCAAACCATAATGCTGTGTTGACATGGGTTATGTGATGCGTTGCATAAAAATGCAGACATGCAGCATTTTTTTTTTACAATGCACCTCACCTCACGTTACAGCATGTCACCGCACCGTAGCAGAGCTGTGGTGTATAGCAATGAATTAAATGTAATTTTGTGACATTTCAATAAAATGAAAAAAAAAAAAGAAGCAAACAGTGCCGTGCATTGTAACAACGCAAAACACTGCCCCCATACATAGCACACCAGCTTGCACCCGTTTTAGTGTGCAGGCTGGTGTGAATGAGCCCTTAAACTGATCATTCAGAAGCAGAATTTTTTGCTCAGCCTGTGGGCAGAATGAAAAACATCGAACGGACTCCTACATCCACTCTAAACAATGCAGATGGAATAATCTCTCACTGCCGCTATTGTATTCTGACAGCCAATACTGCTGGTTGTGAAAACACCCGAGTGATGCCTGCATCTGACAGGATGACGGAGCTGTCTGGCAGACAATTTTCATCAATTTTTCAGTTGTAGGGTGTCAGGTGGGTAGGGTGCCGAGCGGGTCACCTGGATAACATATTTTTAGGGCGTTCATCAGGAGCTGGCTGAAATACGCTCTGTGTATGGCCAGTTTTAGACTTACAGGATATGTTTT